TTTTTTCTGGATCTCATATTTTATTTAGTAGTCAAGTTTGGCTGTGATACATTCACGTAATTATAGATTATTATAATCTTTATTCTTCTGTGTACCGATTTAATAGACCACATTTACATATTGAAATAGATACTTAGGTAAGTGGGGCTAGAAACTCTACCATGACTTGGAACATCCAGAATCGAATTAAAGTGCAAAGTTACTATTTAGTGATGTAATTATTTGCTAATTTTCTACTCAAAGAAAACAAGTACCTTTTTTCAATTTTCTTCTCACTAGAAGAAACCCACTGGGTGACCTTAAACAGGTTACATTTTCTCAACCTCAACAGAGGGCAAAAACAAAAGCCCTCTGAACAATTTTTCCAGGAAAATTCTATAATAGACTTGCACTCTAAGTTATAAATAACTTGAAGCCACACAACACACAGGTCTTTTTAATCAATTATATTAATAGAGTATTACAGTAGTTTTTCAAGTTGCTAGGTCTTTTTAAATCAAAAAATCATGCTTTAATGTGAAAGGAAATAATAAAAAGTTTTACAAATATTGGTAATAGTTTTAGTAATGAAAATACTGGTGTAGTTTTTCTGCACTACTTACACATAGTGCAGAAATACCATAAAGTCAATAGTCCTTTCATTTTTATCACTTTCATTATTTATATAATGGTTTTATTTGATTCTGTGTTCTTAGCTACATGAATTACATCTATGAAAAACCCTGGTCTGAATACAATTGAGAGTTCCAACTAGAGTAGACTTATTGAATATATGAGTGACTCAGCTATACTCTACCAGAAGTAGCACATAGTTATAGGGCTATGTTCTAACATGGAAGAGCCGTTAGATAAGTGCCAGGATTTCTGGTACCTGGAGATTCAGATCTGCATTTCAAACTGTATTGCTGATTGATTCTGTATTCAAGTGGCCAACTATTTCATATTAATATATCAACTCCAGAGATACAAAGACATGTTAAACTTGTTGTTTTCATCAAGGTCAAATATAATTCATGATGGGGATGAGAGACTGATTTCTCCTGTATGGATGTCACCTATCTCCAGTCCTTAATATTAAATGGCGGGGGGGGGGGGGGGGGGGGGGGGGGTCTGCTTATTTTGGTGCAGACTACTGGTATAATGTTCTCATTCAAATTAAGAGAGTTGCCAGTGTTGGATGCCTCAAACATCAGCTGAAAACCTGTTTATCCAGAGATTTCCCTGCTCATTTTCCTAATTGTCATTTTGTCATTTCCCATTTTGTAATGATTAACAAATAATTTTATGGACTTGACTGTTTTATTGTTTTATTGTTAATCATTTAGCATCAGAGCAGTGTCTGTAGTATAATTCTGTAGATGTGGAACTGCAAGATTATTCCACATTGATATCAGCTTGCATATGTAAAACATCCTGTTTATCAAGACAAAACAGTGCAATAAGTTAACAACTGCAGTGGGGTTTTTAAGTATCCTATGTGGTCATTACATTGATCAGAAAAGTAGATCACCACTATAATCAGTTCTGCACTCATATTACAGTAAGTTTTAACACGTTGATAAATTCTTAATGGTTTGGATTCATGGTTTCAGATACACAAGTGTACTTTGAAAGATAGTAACAATTATGTGAATTGGTCCAATGGATTTATTATTATGTATGCCTTCAACTTGTTTCTGATTTATGGCAATAGTAAACTAAATCTATCACAGGTTGCCTTAACAAAATATGATTGTGGGGGAGGGGGGTCACTTTGCCTTCCTTTGAGGTCGCTGGAATCTGATTTGCCCATTGGGCCAAGAAGGGATTCAAACCCTCACCTCCAAAGTCATAATTTTTTTTGAATTATTAAAAACTTTTGAAGGAAAAACAGAAGTAATTTTTACATTGTCTTTGAATTTTATTACCAATTGTTTCAGTATACCAAGAGAGTAGAGAATTTGATTTTTTTAGTGTCAAGTGGAACAAAATAAGGCATTCCATCCTTTCCTCTTTTTTAAAAGGAAATTGCATGTGAGCTCCAAGCTATAACTAGGATACAAATTTGCCCAAATCCAAAAGCTTTCCAAGAAAATTTTGGACTGGAAATGTTCTGCTGCTTGGGTTCTTAGAAATCCCATTCATTTATTGTCATAATCTTAGAGTCAAATCTGAAATTTTACATTTGATACTATCTTTATTGGAAACTTTTATTGGAAATGTTTAATATATGTGACATTTCATTAGTGTGCATTTTCTTTATTCTAGTTGTGATTTTGATATGATTTTATCTTCACATTCCTGTACATGTTTACTCAGAAAGTGATAGCATGGAACACAAATGTTTTACTGCTTAGTTATTATAGTTAAATTGCAATATAAGTCTAAGATGGGGAAAAATTTAAAGGAAAAGAAGCAAATCATGGAAAGCATTCAATTGTAGACATGAAAGGTGCATTTCAGGACACTCAAAATATTTGTTTGTTGGTAGAAAAGTCCTGCATTTTCATTTGTCCAGTAAATGATTCAAGAGTTCCTGGTTCATAAACTTCTAAATTTGGTTTTGAGTAAAACCTTGAAGAAGGTTATAAGAATACACCTACTCAAAAAATACTTTCAGCTGTTCTGCCAAGAAATAACTATATTTTATCATCTTGAGAAATGCCTTTTTTTCTGAAAATGATAAAGACTGAAATAGATAGATAGATCAATAGATAGATAGATAGATATGAATGAAATATATGTGCCCATACATATGTGTTTCATGCCAACTCTCACCTGTGAAAAATATACAATAATGCAATTGTTTTTCCATTTTATTAAAATTGTTTATTCAGCTTGCCCAGTTAATGTGTTTTGTGTACCTTCATTATGATAATACTGTTACAAATTATTTCTAAAAGCAAAAAAAAAAATCTACATAAAATGTAATCTAAATGGTCTCTTCTGAGTTATAGTGACTATTACAATTCATCATAAATCTATTGTACTCAACTCCTAATTGAAGTATGTTTGCTGTTAATCATGTAATGACTTGGTGATACTAATTTGTTGAAAGTAACCTTAAATGAAAACTGATTATCACCAGTACGAAAGTGTTTGACCATTTTAGAATTTGATTGTTTTAGCAATTTCTTATAGATGAGTAACTCTTTCAGATGTCATATGCTGGTTTTAGCTTATAAAGCCCTAAACGGTTCAGGCCCAGCCTATTCGAGAGACCACATCTCCTCCTACGAGTTCACATGACTCCTGCAATCATCAGGAGATGCCCTTCTTTTGGTCCCGCCATCATCCCAAGTGCAGTTGGTGGGAACGAGAGAGAGGGCTTTCACGGTGGTTGCCCCATGGCTCTGGAACTCCCTTCCCAGAGAAGTGCCATTGGCCCCCTCCCTGCTGGCCTTTCACTCTCAACTTAAAACATTTTTATGGTACCAGGCCTTCCCTAAAGATCAACAATAGGCAATGGCCTATACAAGTATTGTATATCTTTTGAAGATGTTATTTCAAACCAGCAATTATATTAATATGGCCTAAAGGAAATGGACATTTAGGTCCCAAGAACAACTTTTAATGGATAACTTTAATGGGCTGAGGGTCAAGGAATTTTTTTAATGGTTTTAATGTTATAATGGTATAAGGTTTTAAAATGTATTAATTTTGCCAAAGTTAGCTTATGTAGTGTGTATTTCTGTTTAGTTTTTGCCTATATATGATGTTTTTGTTATATTTTTATGTGATGTATTTTGGTCATTTGACCATTGTAAACTGCTTTGAATCCAACCTATGGGAGAAAAGTGGGATAATCAATCAATCAATCAATCAATAATATGTGAATTCACTATGGGGATAGCAATTTCAGGAATTAATAGGAATGCCTGTAGTGTTTCTTGGAACTTACATGCCAGTATAATGACTTGTGTCTCATTGCCTCTGTTAAAGTGATTGACAGTGCTCGGATTCTTTAAATATTGTGTTGAGTTAGTGCTTAGGGATGACACATGTCAGTCTAATGTGTTAACACCTTAAATATTCATTACTTGTTTTTAAAATGTACAATACACAGTTTTACAGAATATTTTGAAAATAGTATGTTAATGTATCAGATCTAATCTGTGCAAATTTAGCTATAAAGTACATATAGGAAATATATGAAAGCTGGAAGCACATGAAGAGAAGGATATTTACTTCTTTATAATTTTACAGAACCTTCTGTTGCCGGAATCTTGTTGGTGCACTATGCTAGCAGTCACACAATAATACTGATTGCTCCAAATGGTCTATCTTCAGGAATTTTATTAATGTTGGGCAAATTTCTTCTGCTTTGAATCTTTTTTTATTCTTTAAGTAAAAATATGTTGTATGTCTGATGAACTGCTGTCGTGAGATACATGAGACTTCTCTCCCACTATTACCTTTCCTAAATAGAGAGGATGGCATGAAGTCAGCCCTCCACATTTGTGGGTTTAACTATTGAAAATTTCATTATTCATAGACTAGATCAGTTTGATTCTCTAAGAATCACTAGTTCCCTCCAGTGTGACTCTATGGTCAAAGGATGCCAGGAAGTGACCATAGCCTCACACCTTCATGGAGAGGTGTTCTCCCAGGTTAAAATAATAACCTATTTTATTTGTGTTTTTTTCCTTTTTGCATGTGCTCAGTGCCCCTAACACTGGAAGTCCCTAACACCAGCAACTAGAATCTAATACACTATAGTTCTAGAAGTTTATTAGGTTCTAGTTACTGTTGAGGACAGTGATTTCTTTCATTGTTGACATTCAATAGCATGTTTTCTGTCATTGTCATTAAGTAAAGCTGCTGCCAGGAAATTTTACAGAACAGGGATAGGAAATGTTGCTTTACTGTTGCACCCGAACTCACATCACCAACTATATTAGCTAGGGTATATCAGACAAGATTTTATATACAATTGTATATACACCTCTTTTTGTCTACTTGAATTCAGAACAACAAATCTATGGTGTACTTATCTGATATATATTTTTATTCTTTCACAGGAATCAAGCACGTGTTATATAGTAAAAAAAAGACTGAAGAAAGAAATGCTCTGTTGCAGAAGATTGTGGAATGATAAAAATATTGTCAAGACATTTTAAACAGTCTTTCTGGATCTTCTACATAAACATATATGCCTATTACTGCAGAGATGGATAAAAAAGGAACTTCAGATAATCCACAAATAATTACTGGAAGAGCCATCCAAGATCCTTTACACCTGTTTTGCATCAGTTCTTGTAGAATGCTATAAAGTTTTCTTATTAAGCTGAATCTCTGCTCACTTTCAACAGATTAGACCTTAAAAGCTAATAAAAAGGGAACTGCTGTCGATACTTGTATTGAACATGACTCATGGAGAAGAGCTTGTCTCTGAGATGCACCAGGATTCTGTTGTTCTAACTTACCTAGAGGGATTACTAATGCATCAAGCAGCAGGAGGCTCGGGTTCGGTGGTTGACAAAAAGCCTATTGGGCCTGTTGCAGAGGATCAAAATTGCAAGGTTTCTGGAAATACATCTCCCAGCTGTCAGAGAGATGGTCCAGTTCCTAACACAAATATATATCGAAGTTCTGGCATGCTGCATCACAAAAAAGCAAGGCTGCTACAGTCTTCTGAAGACTGGAATGCTGCAAAAAGAAGACGGTTGTCTGATTCTATTGTGGATTTAAATGGGAAAAAAGAAGCTTTGTTAGCTGGCATGGTTGAAAATGTGCCCAAAGGCAAACAAGATAGCACGTTACTGGCTTCTTTGCTTCAGTCATTCAGCTCTAGGCTGCAGAGTGTTGCTTTGTCACAACAGATTAGGCAGAGCCTAAAGGAGCAAGGGTATTCCCTCAGCCATGATTCTCTACAAGTTGAGAAAGACTTAAGATGTTATGGTGTTGCATCCAGTCACTTGAAGACACTACTGAAGAAGAGCAAAGCAAAAGATGAAAAGGTGGAGACAGGTCTACCTGAGGTAAAAGCAAATGTGGTTAAAGATCGTTTTATAGAGTCTTCACACGCAGCACAGAGTAGTGGTGCAAAGGTGATGAATGAGTCACTGTCTTGTGCTGCAAGATTACAAGCTGTTGCAAGCATGGTGGAAAAAAGGTCTAGCCCTGCTACATCTCCTAAACCCAGTGTGGCTTGTAGTCAGCTTGCTCTGCTTCTTTCAAGTGAAGCACACCTGCAGCAGTACTCCAGGGAACATGCTCTTAAAGCACAAAATGCAAGTCAGATTGCAAGTGAGAGACTAGCTGCTATGGCAAGATTAAAAGAAAGTGTTCCAAAAGATGTTGGCCATTTCAAACTGTCAAAAGGAATGGAAAGCCAGCTTAATGGACAGGTGAGATCTTCAACCAAATCAGTACCCAATAAAAGCAATATGACACATTTTCAGAGTTCTGTGGGGATAATCCATTCACCTCCCAGAAGCGTAAGCTACAAAGGAACAATGGAAAAAAACCATTTCAAACCACCTACCAACAGTAGTTTACTGCTGCATCTCCTTAAAAATCACAATGCTACTAAGCAAGTTAAGGGATATGAACACAATGACAGATCAAGTATTTTTGAAGAGGGTAGTACACCAACCACTGTCGATGAGTACTCTGACAACAATCCAAGTTTCACAGAAGATGACAGCAGCGATGATGAAAGTTCTCATTCTACTTGTCTTCCCATAGATTTATCTTTCAAACAGAAAAACAGTGCTTCAGATTCCAGACCACCATCTTCACTAGACAACTTAACACAATCCTTAATTCATAATTGGGATTCAAAAGTGCCGTGTCTAGAAAATACAGAAGAGAAAGATCCACCCAAAACTGCCAAACTAAATCCACACCAGAAAGTAACTTTACTTCAACTATTACTTGGCCATAAAAATGAAGACACTATAGAGAAGCTTCCAGAAACTGAAGGAATGTTAGTTACAGCTGATGTGGCAAAATTTAATTTACCAACAGGTAACAGAACTCCTGTGACTGACTGCATTAACACAAGTCGAAATACTCCAGTCAACACTCCCCCTTTGCTAGCTTCTACAAAAGCAGATTCACCCATCAACCTCTCACATCATTCTCCCTTATTGATCAAGCATAATTCATCACCATACACTTGCATCATACAGCCTGAAAGAGTCATTAATCCAGCTTCTAGACACTTGATAGATCTTACAGTCCAGAAGGAACTTCAAGGAAGTAAGCAGAACAGAAAAGAAATTTCGCAAGCATCTTCATCTTTTAGTGCAAGTAAACTTTTACAAAACTTAGCTCAGTGTGGGATGCAGTCTTCCGTGTCTGTGGATGAGCAAAGGCAAGCAAGCAAACAAGTAATGACTCTAAACACAGAGAAACCAATAGGCTTGATAGATGGACTAAAGAGCTCCATGCTCACTAACGCACCCATTAAATTTGAAGAAAACAAAATAGTAAGCAACCAACCTCTACCATCAGAACAAAAAATTCCTAGTTCAGAAATCCAGAATCTCCTTGAGAGGCGTACAGTCCTCCAATTGCTTCTGGGAACTTCCAACAAAAGTACGAGTGAAACAAAAGAGATGATGCTATCAAAAGAGGAGGGTTTACAAGACCCAACAGAAAAGACTTTGAGTGAGCAAATATTAACTGTAAAAGTAAAATCTGAACCTTCAGAGGAATTAAATGCCCTTCAGAATACAAATACACAACAAACAAGGGGCAATGTTCATAAGAAAATTCATGGACTAGGTAGATCCTTAGAAAGAAACACACCTACTTCTCCAACATCAGAAGAACCTAGACCTAACCCTTTGTCACCTCAAGATTTTTCCTTTTCAAAAAATGGTCTGTTGAGTCGGCTGCTTCGACAGAATCAGGATAACTACTCTGTAGATGATGTAGACAGAAATCATAGAAACAATGAACAGACATTTGTGGACTCAAAAAGTCACAGCACCATCCCAAAGAAGAGAAAGCTTCATTGTGAACCTTGTGAGAGTCCTTTAAAAATAGTAAAATGTAACAGAAGTAACATATCCGAAATTGCAAACAATCATAAGTCTTCTCCAGATGTGTTGTATGGGACTGCTCTTAAACAGAAAGACTTGAAATTTAGCAGAACTGATCTTGATTTAAAATATTCTTCAGGTTATGGTTCAAATAATGAAAGTGAATCTAGAAGTTGGTCTAGAGAAAGCAAAGGATTTAATGTGTTGAAGCAGCTCCTTCTGTCAGAAAATTGTGAAAAAGACATGTCTCAACATAGGAATAATTCAGCAGTAATTGATGGCAGAAAGAAAGCAAACAAAAACAATATAACAAATAATAACAAAGGTGAATCCAGTGTTACTTCATTGCATACACTTGTGGAGAATCCTGAGCAACAAACCAATTGTCGGGATCATCAAGCATTTCAATATTCAGTTGCAATGAAAAGTCCTGCCAGTTCTCCCTTCTCTGATCAACTGGGAGGCACAGTATCATCCCACCCTGAATGTGACCAGTATAGTGTTTGCCCTGTACCTAGTGAAAGGGGGCCCATAAAATGGATCATCACAGATTCAGACAAGAATGAACATGACAGAGATTCCCCAAGATTGACCAAAACTAATCCGATATTATATTATATGTTACAGAAAGGGGGGAGTTCTGTTAATATTCAGGAAGCACATAGCAAAGATGCTTGGAGTGAAACATCATTTACAGAAAATTCATCAGCTGCCACAATTAAGAAAGAACTATCACCTGTAGAATGTAGAATGCCATTTCATACGGTGAGACATGCATATAATAACCATTCAAGTAACAAGGTGTCACTTCAACACAACGTGAATGGAGATGTATATGGACTCTTAGAAAAAGTGTTAACAATTAAAAAAGAACCAGAGTAAATAATAGTCATATAATGTGTTTACAGGCAGATTGAAATCTTTACTTTTCAAAAAAATGTTGTATAAATCTAGCATGATTTGAGAAGTGCATGGTATAAGTGAAACATGTTTTTGTTTGATGAACTTTGTGGCTAATATTTAAAATACACGTTGCTTTCTTTTCCTTTTTGTACTTTCCTTTTTTGGCTTTAAAGGAAATTGATCACAATTTTTGTTATATAACCTGTAACTGGAGATGTTGGTCTCCCTTGCACATACTTTTCCTGATGTAGTAACTACTGCCAATATTTCTTCAACACCAGCCATAGTGTAAAGAACCTGATCAATGCTTCCAGGTATGTTTCCAAATCATGCAAGTAATGGGGCACAAACCTCCTAATGTGTCATGTGTATGGCTGGTAAACATGGCAGAAAATTGAACCATCTAGACAGAATTCTTTAAAGTATTGGATTGATATAGGAATATTTACAGAGGCAGAAGCAACTACATTGGGAAATTACATCTAAAGAGAATCTTATTTGGAACTACTGGTATTACGCATGTAATGCAATGTAATATCCAGCCTACACTGGTATTTTGCGCCATTGTATCCTGCTATGTAATATTTTTTCCTTTTTTAAAAAAAATTCTGGGCACTGGGGCAGTATAATTTTGTGTTTTTCAAAATTTTATGAAATGTGAAGAATTTTTTTACAGATGCATCACTTAGACCATGACATTTGTTTATTGTATTTGTAATCTCCATTAGTGTCAACTAGAGAAGTGAACAGAAATGAAATTTATAGTGCTTCCAATGGCTTTTCATTATATTTTGATATCTGAGAGAACCACAAGTAGAATCTCTTTTCTCTAGTTACATTTGGAGGATGCCTTCCCTAGACACTCACTTGGAATTAAAACTAGGTGACAACTTTACATTTTTTATAATACTGGGTTTCCAAAATGCTGTCAGTTTAAAAAACGTTTTATTATCCACATTTATGCGTTTGTTCAAGTAAACACAGCAAGGTCATCTCATGAGATTAATACATGAAGATACTCAGAATTTTCCAGAACTACTGCTGATTTATGTTTAGAAAGAGAAAAAATAATAATAGAAGAAATAGTCATTTCTCATCAATCCATGCATGTTTAAAATATGAGCACTAATAAAGAATGGAAAATTATTTATGTTGCTGATCTGTTGATGTAATTGTAAAAACATCAGTTAGTCTGTAAACAGCTCGCTTATTTATTTATTAGCCTTAACCATACCAGATTTAAAAGGAATGGTGTAAATTTAAAAAGTGGAATGAATCAAATGACAGCTTTAAAAACTGGAATGCATGTAATAACAATATAGTTATTAGTTGTGACATGCACTTCTCTCTCTCTCTCTCTCTCTCTCCCTCTGTCTTGCTACACACATGCACACGTCTTTCACATCATTGACTTGGCTTTTCATAAACAAGTAGAGTTTTTCAAATATTCTACCAAGAAATTTGGCTAATCTTACTCAAACTACAATGCCACCTTCAAAATACAAATGATTTTTGAGTACAATATTTTGCATTTGCTTTTTGAGTTCTATTTTAAATAAAATTCTATCTACTGCAATAACTTGAAACATGTAGCATTCTGGTTCAGAATTATCGACTCTGTTGAACTCTGAACATTCAGAAGTTGTGATAGTAAATGTGAAGGGCTAAATTCGGCAGTAGCAGTGAAACTACTTACCCTCTACATCATCTTAAAACTAGCTCAGGCCTACTGAACGAAAGAGGAAAAAAGATTTCCCTTGCAAATCCACTGGATCCTGCTTCTAAGGCATAGAGATCTCATTCATGATGTTGTCTCAAGTCAAAGTTGACTAGGCAATACCTAACATAGTGGATGGCACTAAATCTCAGTTGCTGAGCTTAAAATATGTGGTTGTAGTGAGCAACAAGTTTCACAATAACTTAATCTAATCTGACCCAAGTCTTCCATTGATGTTTAGCATTTTTGAGAAACCAGAAAAGATCAGTAGAACCCATCTCATGGAGAGATTCAATGATGGGGAAGGCAGGTTATCACTTGACTAGAAAAGGTTTTTATGAAGGAGATGTATATTTTAATCAAATATAATGTTAATTTCATTCTGAGTCAGGTTTCAGCTGTATCTCATTTAAGATAAAACTCATTATATCCTTTTGGAATACAATTCTACTGAATTATGTAAGACTTACTTCAATAGATACATACAAGATTGTGCTGTTCAAGTATTTATTGCTTTTAGAACTAACCAGTGACAACTCAGATGTCATTAATTCAAATGATTTCAGAACTTTCTTAATGATGTTGAACCCCATATTTGCCTCACATTAACCTTTAAGAGAAGGGTATAATTGTTCCATCATAAAGTTACCTACAAAATATTGTTTTGTTATTTTAGTAGTAGTAGTCATAGTAGTAAAATAATTTATGTGTTTAAGGGTGGGTGTTGTTGTGAACCAGAAACTGTGAAATTGTAACTTATAGAAAGGACCATGCTTCAATATTTATATAAAAATCTAGTAAAAATTGGCATAAATATTGTTTAAAACATGTATTGCAATCCATAGTCATTCCACTCTTGTACTTCTGCATGTGCTAATGTCATAACAAATCTTTGTTACCTTACAGAGTTTTAACATAATCATATAGTGTGCATTTCTGTACTTTAAACATAAATATAGTCCAGAGGATTGGAGTTCATTTATTAAAGAAAGCAAAGAGAAACTCCTATTATTAATATGATCATACATATTCCATTAGGTGTTCTCTAGACAAATATTTAAGTGCTCACTGACAAAACATTACTGTTCCACATAAGCAACCCTTTTTATAATGCCAGAGGTTGGTGTGTCCGATTCTAAATGTTACCTTCATTGACACAATCAAAATTCTCAAAATTGGGTAGCAAATAAGATTTTAATCAAAAGGGTTTACATATATCTCAACCAGCTGCCTTACCCATGTGGCCAATAAAAGCCAACCAAGGAACAAAAGATAAGCCAGGCAGTAGCTTGTTTGCAATCATCATACACAGTTCTGAATATGAAGCACACATCTATCCGATGGTCATTCACACTAGATAATTACAGCACTATTATCTCACTTCCACTGTTCCATCTCCATCCTATGTTATCCTGGGATTTGCAGATTAGAAAGCAGTATTTCGAATTCTAGTGCCTCCACAAACTGTAGCTTCCAGGATTCTATAGAATGCAACCACAGCAGTTAAAATGGAATAATAATGTGAATGGATAAATCATCCAAGTTAAATGTGCTACAGAATGAAAGTATACATGATAACATGTCCCTCTGGTTAAACCAAATTTGCTTCAATATAGTCATCACCAGTTTCTCCCTGTGCAGTAAAGTCATCTTGGAAGGGGAGAAATACTAGGAGTGGACGTCAGAAGAAAGTGAGCTAATGAACTAGGGTTTTTCTCCCACACGTTTCTTTCATTTAGATCAAGATTTGTTATATTTTCTGGTTTTTATCTGACTGCCTCAGGTAACTTGAGTCAGAATTTGACTATAAGATTTAGAGAGAGAGAAAATTAATTTACATTGTGATCTAAAAGAAGAGTAATATGGATCTTGGGATAGAGAACAACATTTCTGTCTCATTTTTATGCCATTTTGTAAAAGCATACATTAGGACTTCAGAATAATGCTTAAATTTAGGACCATGCAATATACTAGTGGAGATTACCTAAATCTACAGTCGGATTCACAGAAACATACACCTTATTGAGCACAATGGATCTTATGTCTACGTAGTTATGGACCGGATGGGGCTGCACACCTGGAAACCTATGCATACTTCCTGAGACTAAATGCTCTTGAATTCACTGGAATTTCTTCTGAGTAAATGTGTTTAGGATTATTCTAAAAATATCAGTCATTTTTTTGAAGATAGAAACGATAGTTTGAATGGAAAACCAGCCATGTGTTTACTTCTTAAACAATATATATATTTTTTAAAAAATCTAGATGATAAAGTGTTTAATTTACATTTTTTCCAAGATACATTATTTTATTTCTCCCACCAAACATCAATCTAATGTGACAACGCTATCATTTATGACAGCAAGATATTGCCAGTTTCTACTGCATTTTAGTAGAATGAACTGGTTAGTTATATTTTATATATATATATATATTTATGTAAAGTATGTATGTATGTATATGTATACATTTGTAAATATGTAGACTTGTTACACATACATGTCAAAATTGGTTTTTAACAAAGTGATGTACATAGTGGTTTCTTTAATGAAAAGTACAGATTTTGTATTCTATATAATGCAAAAGATTAAACCTTTTACTCTTTTTGTTATGTATATTCCATGTATTAAATGTAAATATGATCCCATAGGTTTAAATTTTTGCATGTACGTATACAGTTGCAAGTCTGGAAGAATGTATAAAAACATTTTATTTAAAATTGTAATTACTTGCTGCATGAAAAATGCATGGGGGACCCTGTGCATCTCTGCAATGGCAAAAATGTCTTAAGTCAAACAAGATGTTTATCAAACACAACTGTATTCTGTTTCTGGACATGACTTCTGCTGTGGTATTTTAGCTTTGTGAAAGAATGTGCTTCAAATGAAAGGGTCTGGGGGAAAACAGCTTTTTTTTAAAAAAAAAATAAACAAACATAAAGAGCCACCTCCCTTCTGCCAGCCACAAACATCATTAACTTTTTTATTCCATTTCAAACTGCTGAGATCTATTATAGTTTTGTCAGTGTAATACCAATTTTCATTGCCATAAAGAAAAATTCTGGGGTTTATGCAATCTTTTGTTGTGGAGTTTTCACTAATTTAATGGCTTTCATTTTTATTAGAAGATGATTTATTCATGTGATGTCATGAAACTGTACATACTGCAGTGTGAAGGTTTTTTTTAATTCTTTCAGTGTTTACTTCCTGCAGAAAATTTGAATAAATGAGAAAAATGCATTGAATGAGTAGCATTAATCTGTTTATTATACACTTTCTATTTGCGGTGCCACTTTCCAAATGCTTTGTTTATCTGACATCCCATTGATTATGACAGGTTTACCAGCAATTTTAGGAAAGCACTTTCTATCTAAGGTTAATTTGAATACATAGAGTTGAGGGATACATTAGCACTGTGCAGTGTATCGTGGAATCAGGAGTACACAAAAAACTCTACATCCTTCTATATGTAATCAAATGGGGTCTACAGATTTTCTGATTTGGACCTGAATCTATGTTTATTTGGTATTGTGATTTTTTAATTGCGACGGTGTCACATGGTTGCTGGAGGTTTTCTGCTTTGAGGGGTGTGGGGAACTCACCACCCTACACCCCGCATCACCTGGCTCTAACAGAGGGTGATCAGATGGGGGGAAGCATGAGTGAGCGTGGAGCATGTACCCCCCCCCATGGATTGCAATAGTAACATGGGACCCCTCCCATGTTGCCCTGGTGGCAGCATGCGGTGGCTACACCCTCTTTTCACCCATGGAGCTGTGCTGGCAGTGTCTGATGGGAGCTGGCTGGCTCAGTGGGTGACCAGGGCTAAATCGGCACATGCAGACGAATTTAGCCCTGTGTGAAGAGGTTGTTGGTGACCAATCTTCCTTTCACTTGCTTTGATGCATTGAGAAATGTCCAAATTCAGTTCAGGAGAGGAGGAGAGACTATATTCTAAATCTTGGAAGTCTTATGTACGGTGAAGGGAGAGTGGGAATACCAACCTCCACAGTGCATACAAAAAAAAAAACCAGAAAACAAGGGTCATGCGTGGCAGAGAAAATTATATGTTGCTTTAGTTTATATAGACTAACTCTTAATGGTTTTTAAAAGCTGTATGTCTCCACCCCATTTTTAAACTGTAATAAGGGTGTTCTTAGTGCAATAGAGATAAATAACTAATGTGAAATGTAGAATGGCAAACAATAATAAATCAAGTTACCCTAAAACAGCAGTACATAATACCACTACATAAAGCTAGCTCTAGACTGAAGATATGAAACAATTAAAAACAATTCTTGGAGGAGCTGAGGATAAAATGGTCTTCATCTGGCTCTGAAAACTGTAACAGAAAAGGTGAGATTTTGGTTTGCTTGCTTTTTTTATAAGAAGAAAGGGCACTTTGCTCACCCTTGTTCTGATATTTACTACCATAGCATTCTTGGCTCTTTGCCTTTTTACCCACTGTTCACCTAAGGGGTTGCAGTGGCTCTGGAAATTAAGAACTTAAAAGTCCCCAGCTGCCACCACTGACCTTCATATCTATTTTCTCTTTTATTACTGAACATAGCAAAATAAAAAACAGTGATAGTTATTTTCCTCCCAAACTAGTGTTGCTTTTGAGGGAATGTAGGCCCAAAGCATATCAGTAAATCCTCAGAAAATGCAACAGAAGGTGAAAGAACCAAGAGAAATATACTTGTTTTACTATAGTATTTTATAATAGACCAAATGAACAAATCGACATGGCGTGACAAGGTAATGTAGTGGAGGGTGTCTTGGGGAAATGCTCTTAAACTACAAAGGATCAGGCTGTAATTTAATTTAGTTTCCTTTCAAAATTGTGTTCCTGTTTTTTCAGTGAGATTTAACTACAAATAACTTTGCCTGAGTTGAACCAAACAGTGCATTTAACCATGACATAAAACTGGGAATTCCGCTACATTCAGATTTCTCATTGCTACATTCAGATCTCTTTGTGGGTTCAATGTGGCCCTTGGAATTTTAGTGGTCTCTTAAAAAAGGCTTCAAAATGTCAAAAACAAAACTTTTTTGAGTCTCTACAATGCAATTGTGGGAGCTTCCTCGCCAAAACCAACCAATGACCCCCTCTCCATTCTGGATGACTACCAGATATGGTCTACTTGCCAAAATTTTTGATTTATATTTTAATTAAAATGGCAAATTAAACCCATAATTTCCCATTCCTGTGATCAGAAGAATGGCATACCTCTGCCTCCAATCACCATCACCAAAAGTAAAATACAACAATAGCAATGGCTAATTATTTTGGCTTTCATGGCTGGAATCACTGGGTCGTTGTAGGCTTTTTTGGGCTATATGACCATGTTCTAGAGGCATTCTCTCCTGATGTTTTGCCTGCATCTATGGCAACCATCCTCAGAGGTAGTGAGGTCTGTTGGAACTAGGAAAATGGGTTTATATATCTGTGGAATGACCAGGGTGGGACAAAGGACTCTTGTCGGAGCTAGGTGTGAATGTTTCAACTGACCACCTTGATTAACATTTGATGGCCTGGCAGTGCCTGGGGCAATCTTTTTTTGAGAGGTGATTAGATGTCCCAGATTGTTTTGCTGTTGTAATTTTAGAATTTTAGAAGACTACACAGAGAAGCCATTGAAATCCATAACCATGTGAACAATTTCAACAGAGAGGAGGAAACCATGAAAATTAACAAAATTTGGCTACCAGTATTAAAAAAACAGATATGCTAATTTGTTAATCAAGGTGGTCAGTTGAAAGATTCACACCTAGCTCCAACAGAAATGTCAGGAGAGAATGCCTCTAGAACATGGCCATATAGCCCGAAAAAACCTAGAACCTGCCTCATTTTGTGGCTAGAGCTGCCATTCCTCAAGTGCACATCACGTTGGTTGCACATCAATGTAAACAGTCACTCATTTCATTGCTCATGCAACCCTATTGTGTCATCCTAGGTATATTGCTCTTTTACAGGGTGGCTTACCGAACCTAAGAGAAAGATGACTGCTTCCTACATGCCAAAAAAACACATCTCAGTGGGTAGAATGAAAACATGGCTTATATGTGTTTGAAGTCAAAGATTTTATGAGATTTGGAGAACAAAGCATATGAGGAAAGGCTAAAAATTTGCTGGGCTCAGTTTGGTGAAAAGTGGACTGAGGTGTGGCATATTACACTAAACAATTGAAGAGCTGTCACAGAAAGGAGGGGAGAAGTTTCTTCTCTGATGCCCCAGAGGGTAGAACCATTCTAATTGGTTTAGGTTACAGACGGGGAGAATTCAACATTATCAAGAAGTTACGGACAGGAAGAACAGAACTAATTTCCCAGAGAGATCATGGGGTCTCCCTCTTTGTAGGCTGAATACACTACATGCTAGGCATGGTCTAGCAGCTGGAGATACTTCACTGAGGAGAGGACTGCACTTGTTACTATGGGCTTCATCCAACTCTTAGGACTGTATGATTCTAAGAATATATCTCAATGAATAATAACAATTAAGTTAAATATTGAAGAGGAGAAGAAACTGCTGCTCAGCCTAAAATTACTTCATGTTCCATTCCAAACAATGGTTTAAAGAAACTACTAAAATAATGTTTTGGAATAGATTTATCTATCAGGGTTCTTCCTGTGTGGCATGATTTAAACACCAGTAGAGGTGTTTAAATCATGTAGAGGAAAACATTACTGCTTTGCTTCACCTTGACAATCAAAAAGGAGCTTAGGGAATTCCACAGATTTGGAAACACACCTTGGTAGAAGCATATAAATGAACTTGTACCCCTGTCATATTAAAGGAGTTTATTGCTCTTTGGGGAAAGCTTAATTCTCTGTTAATTGAGAAGGCGGAAGATCATTTGCACTTGACTGCACAATATTACAAAGAGTGTTATAATAAATGGAGTAAACTTCAGTTCATATTTTAAGTAACATTTGATAAGGAAATTTGAATAATAGAGCTCCAAACAATGTATGTTTATAATTAACTCACAGCCAGCCCATTATTTTTTTTTAAAAAAAAATGAAAACAACATAGTTCCAATTTCAGAATTGATTATTTTGTAACATAACTAAGAATAGATTCAGATTAATGATGCACACGTAGGATGAAGTGCCAAAGAGTAACCACAGATGAGATTATCTCCCAGCAAAGTGTCAAGATATTCATTTTCTAAAAGATGGAGTATGAAGGGGCAGCATCATTTGATTGTGATTAGTGATAGCTAATTTATAGTTCCATTTGAAATTAGATTGTAATACCAACAAAGATATTTCCTTAAAAATCAGAAGTGTGGACTGATAGGTTTCAAGCATAGCTATTCATAACAAGCTGGAATGTGTCCAGAGGAGGGTGACTAAAATGATCAAGAGTCTGGAGAACAAGCCCTATGAAGAGCGGATTAAGGAGCTGGGCATGTTTAGCCTGAAGAAGAGAAGGCTGAGAGGAGATATGATAGCCATGTATAAATATGTGAGAGGAAGCCACAGGGAGGAGGGAGCAAGCTTGTTTTCTGCTTCCCTGGAGACTAGGACGCGGAACAATGGCTTCAAACTACAAGAAAGGAGATTCCATCTGAACATGAGGAAGAACTTCCTGACTGTGAGAGCCGTTCAGCAATGGAACTCTCTGCCCCGGAGTGTGATGGAGGCTCTTTCTTTGGAAGCTTTTAAACAGAGGCTGGATGGCCATCTGTCAGGGGTGATTTGAGTGCAATATTCCTGCTTCTTGGCAGGGGGTTGGGCTGGATAGCCCATGAGGTCTCTTCCAACTCTTTGATTCTATGATTCTATGATAAGACTGTAAGAAGATCTGTGTCTTATGTATTCTAATATTGTCTTCACACAATTGCTTATGGGAAGCCCATCAAATGAGACCACCTCACATTGCCCAACAATCATATGTAAAAGCATACTGTCTCTGGTATTGGATGTGATATACTGCATAGTCAACCTGATTTGATGACCCATCTCCTATTAATATATGCAGTCTCCTTTCAAATCCACTAAATTGGCAAACAAAGCATTTTGCACAGTTTAACTATATATAGCAATTGCTTGAGTCAAGAGTTTAATTTGTTCAAATCAAAGTGGATTTTCCCATTGAAATGCTATTAATCCACTCCACACCCCATTTTTGTTAAGTTTTTTTTTAAAAAATAAGAAAATGTACTTTATAAATAACAAGTAATGTATAAATGCATATTCACCTGGAACAATAAAAAAGATCACATTTTAAATGGTA